TGGTGCACTGGGATGACCCAGAGGGATGGGATGGGGAGGGAGGTGGGAGGGGGGTTCAGGATGGGGAACACATGTAAATCCATGGCTGATTCATGTCAATGTATGGCAAAAACCACTACAATATTGTAAAGTAATTAGCCTCCAACTAATAAAAATAAATGGAAAAAAAAATTCACCCATTTCAGTCCATTTTAGTTTGCTGATTCCTAAAATGTCAACGTTCACGCTTGCGCTCTCCTGTTTGACCACTTCCGATTTGCCTTGATTCATGGACCTAACATCCCAGGTTCCTGTGCAATATTGCTCTGTACAGCATTGGGCCTTGCTTCCATCACCAGTCGCATCTCCAACTGGGTGTTGTTTTTGCTTTGGCTCTGTCTCTTCATTCTTTCTGGAGTTATTTCTCCACTGATCTGCGGTAGCCTATTTGGCACATACCGACCTGGAGCCTTCATCTTTCAGTGTCCTATATTTTTGCATTTTCATAGTGTTCATGGGGTTCTCAAGGCAAGAATACTGTTGCCTTGGCAACAGTGGTTTGCCATTCCCTTCTCCAGTGGACCACATTTTGTCAGAAGTCTCCACCATGACCTGTCCATCTTGGGTGGCCCCACACAGCATGGCTTAGTTTCATTGAGTTAGACAATGCTGTGGTCCATGTGATCAGATTGGCTGGTTGTCTGTGATTGTGGTTTCCGTCAGTCTGCCCTCTCACAGCGCCTACTGCCTTACTGGGGTTTCTGTTGCCTTGGACGTGGGGTAGCTCTTCACGGCTGCTCCTTATGTTGGACGTGGGGTCACTCCTCTCAGCTGCTCGCAGCTCCAGCGCTGTGCAGTCACCACTACTGACCTTGGACGTAGGTGCAGGCAGTGGAGCCTCCTGATTAATGCCTTGCGAGGTGCTCTGTACTAGCTATAGAGCATCTTTGCCAAAGACAAGGCTGATCTACTCAATCTGCTAGATCCAACATCGAGAGCTCACCGGTGAAATGGGGAAGGTAAAATGGCACCATGAGGAAGCAGGCAGCCGTGTCAGAGGTACCACATCCTAAAGACGAATCTGGGTTCTTCAGGAAGCCAGTGGCATGAGAAATGGAGGGGAGCGATGAGGTGGACCATTTAAAAAAATGAGAGACATGACTCATGCACCTAATTTGAGTTTGGGTCCCGATTACAAACTAACTTTGAAAAGACATTTTTGAGAGGACTAGGAAAATTTGATATGAACTAGATATTTAGTGACACTAAATTTTTTAATTTTGTTAATTGTGATAATGGTTTATGTTATACAAAATTTTTTTCTCATATTTTAGAGATTCACTGAGAATTTGGATTGATAAATTCAGAGCTGCACTTTTAAAGAACTAGAGTGAGGCTCACCTCCAAAGCTTTTTCATTCAGAAGGTTATGCTAGATAGGAATCTTTAAATTCCACAGGTAATTCTGATAAGAAGCCAGGTTTAGGAGTTTACATTAAGTAGTTCAAAAGACATTTTAACATGGATTGTAGATGATATTAAGGTGACTTCAGACTGATAAATGTATGTATCTTAAATAATAGCTCCAAGCAGGGGTCTTTAGGAGGCAGTCAAAATACATATGTGTACCTCCTCCTGCCCCGCCCCACACAGCTCCCCCCCAATACCTGAAAGTTCATCAGTATTGAGAAGCCTGAAGATTTGGAAGAGGGGAAAATACAGGTAAAGGAGCCTCATAGCTCTTGATTTTCTATGTCAGGCCTAGCTTTAGGAGGCTAATGTCCAACACTGGAGACAGATGTTTTTATTGAAAGATTGAGGAAGTGAGGTTTGGCTCAATGTTAGCTATTATATTGAAATATTTTAGCTCAGTCACTCACAGATGAATTCAAAAAATGCAGGAAGAATTTCTAAGTGGAGGACCTATTAATATATAAGTAGACAAATGAGTTTTAGGAAGTACTGCCTGGCTAAGTTTTTTTCAAAGATCGTGCTACCTCCTATAAGAAGAGGAAACACAGATTACAGAACATAGTTCTCCAAACCAAATTATCTCAGCTTTTATTTCTACAACAGGCATGTACCAACTTTACTTCACTGTCTAAATGGCTTCAGAGAGCTCACTCCAATTCACTAAAATGAGATTTTTTTTTAAGTCAGAGATTGCAAACTGGGTTATTATAAGTGTTGAATGTTTAATACTCATAGTGTCTATGAAAGTAGCTTCTTCTCTGCTTATAAATATATAATACCATAATGGAAATTATCCATTAAATTTTAACAGTGTAGCATCTACCTGGAATGTGCTTTTCCCCAGAGTTTTGTGATAGTATATGTGGGGGAGACAAGATGGAAGGAAGTTAGCCTGTGTTTAAAAAAGAAAAAATGCCTTTCCCTTCAGTTCATTTTTATTTTGCAACCTTACATCTTATTTTGACTTTGTTTCACCATTGTCTGAAGAGAAGGCAGAAACTGTCAACCAAGGACACAACTGGAAAAAATTCTGACTTAACAGGGAATTTATTTCAAAGATTTATTTCCTTAATAAATTACTCAGGCCTGGGTAACTTAGCCTCAGGATACCTGACGACTTTCATTTTTTCCCCTGAAACACACAGAACAAGAAGAGCTTTAAGACAAGATGATTGTTACTGCCCAAACCAGCAAACTAAAGGGTGTGGCAAATGTCATCATGCTTTTCAACCATGGTGACCTTTGTCTTCTCTATTCTTTTTTTAAAGGTAGGCGATCACATCAGAAAAATTGTAAACAAGACCACACTGTCACACTGACCCGCATTCTGCAGCAGCCCTCTGGAGAGGCAACATGCGTGTCCAACTTCCAGAATGGACCTGCAGATACAACCACATCCATGTGAATGTTTATACCCACATGCTTATGTATCATGGTGACCTCAAGACCAATCTACTCAGCAGAAACACGAGTTTTCTTTTATTTGACAGAGCCTGTCAAATAAATATTCATTTTCCATATTTCTATTTCGTTCCTGAGAATATTGAGGAAGTGGGGGCTGACTCAATGTTTGTTACTGTATTGAAATATTGATATTTTATAAGAAAAAATGGTCAGTTTTATCATCTATGTTATATTTTTAGAAAGGACTAAGGGATGACTTAAAATCACATAAAAATAATTAAACAATAGTAACTGCGAGGCCATAGAACAAGATCTTGAATTGCTCATTTCCGCCGCTCCTTGGCCGCCTCTGCATAGTGGCAGTTTGGAGCTCGGTAAAGTGGGGCTGTTGCAGACACTACCACAGGCTGGATGACCTGTCTGCTGCAGAGGTGAACTGGAAGCAAAATTTCAATCTCCTGACACCTAACGTTTGAGGAGAGAAGGCCCTGGGGCCATGCCAACAGCCAGTATCAGCCGCTGTGGCTAACTGGGGTTATTTTTGCAACACCGTGGTTTCTCAGTAGCAAACCTGATTGCGGTTCCAACAGCGAGACCTGCTTGTTTGCACCAGCTCGGTTTCTCCACCTTCCTCCCATCCTAGAACACACAAAAGATTTTGCTTGTAAGGCACTCACAGTCAGCCCGGGAGGCAGCTTTTGGGTGGCATCCAACATCCTAGAGGCTCTTTTGGCCCAGGGTTTGTTGCTCAGCCGTGTGCGATGCTTTTCAACCCCGTGGACTGTAACCACCAGGCTGTTGGCCCAGGTCCTGCCCTAGACCCTTGTTCTCAAAGGATTAACAGTAGCATATCTTAGCACACAGGGGATCCATTCCAGCTACTGGAATTGGTGATTATTTGCTACCCAAGTGAGGCCTGAAAAATCACTTCACTGCAGCAGCAGCATCACCTGGTGCTTGGAAAAGCTGACACTCAGAGCCATCCAATCAGCATCTGTTTTAACGCGCTCCCCAGTAAGTCTTGTGAACATTAAAGTCTGAGGGTTGGAGTCCATGGGGTAACCATGTACCCCTCAGCAAGCTGGATAAGTCCCTGGTGAGCTTAGCCCTGCCTCCGTTTGCAACGCTGCCTTCGGTCCTTCCCTTCTCTCCAACCCTTCATACCAGAGGGCACTCTGCTCTATCTGTTCCTGCTGTTGCATAGACTGCCTCTCAGCCTACAACGCCCTTTATCTGCCCTTCTGAACTCTTCCTCTCCCTTCAACCGTCAACTTAAAAGTCAGGTTTCACCCGCCCAGCTAAACTGGGCAGAGCAAGATGCTGGCCTGTTGAGACTTTTGCTTCCGCCCTGTTGCTCCCTGGTTCTGATTATCCGCCTCTGCTAAAGAACTTCCTACACTGGACAGTAATTACCTGTCAAGCAGACTGTGAATGCTCAGTGTGAGCAGCTTTGGTTTACTCATCCTTGAATAGTGTTAGGTGCGACAGTCATGCCCACTGGATAAATCAGTGAATCTTGTTGGCCATTTTTATGAGAAAGCTATTTCCCTAAAACAGTAATGTATATAATATTTATAAGTCATTTCAAAATAGTTCTTTTGTATTTCCTCTGATTTGTGGCCAGTTTTCATGAAATGCAGGCTAGCACGTACCCGTTTCTTATCCTTTAGGCCAGATGTACAATTATGCTCTTTCTATGACTGAATATATTTTAACTATAACAAAGTTGTCACCAAAGAAATTAAATCATATCAGATACGTTATAGATGAACACATCTTCTGATATGACTGCTGTCTAGTAAACCACCATTCACTGCTTATTTTTCAACAGTGTAATTCTAAATACTGATTACTGTCTTTTCTTTAAAGATGCTAAAAAAAAATCCTGATTCCTAGCTGGTCTGCATTCACTTTAAAAAATCACATTCTCAGATTGTATCGTTTTTTCCCCTGGGTATTGTAAACTTATGTATGTATCCCCACATACATCCTCAGCCAGTCTTTTAAACGCACCATTTTTAAAATCCAGCTCTGGGTGTTAAAGAAATTTTACTGTTAGGAAGACTCATAAAAGGAAGATGTTATAAAAGACCAATTTCCCCCAAAGGCTGAACAGTTATTGGGGTAATTTACCAAAGAATTGCAGCCTGTGAGACCACACCAGCGACAAAGCCAAGCAAATAGAGTTTCTTTCCTCTTCTGAATTTAGGGAAATGAGTATGAAGGGAAGGATATTAACTCTCTCCGGGTAAGATGTGGGTGTTGTCTTTGAGAGCAGGAATTTCTAGGACATGAGAGAGGGGCTGGTGGTGACAGAAGGCTCCAAGGAGAGATGGAAGAGGGGCCTACTTGCTGGCTGCCTGCCACGTTCAGAGAATGTGGAAAAAGAGCAAATAATTTCAAATATATATAGAATAAAACCAGCAGAGACAACTGATTTGAGACCTCCCATTTAGGAAACTGCTTCTTTAATTCAGAAACTCACTATTAAAAAGAAAATAAATCTCTCGCATTTGCAAAATGGGCTTTGTACAGTACCTCAGACCACAGCCTAGAGGAGCAGAGTTACCATGACTCCTTGCATCTCCCACAGGGAGGATACAGACCAAGGAGTGGTTCACCATCTACGAACAACCTGCCTGTGCCCTGCTAGCAGAAGTGTAAGAAAATCCCATTAATCTATGTGGTCCTGACTAGCTAATCACTAAAAGCACGAACAGAAAATTCAGGCTGTCAACACTCTCCCAGGAGTGCCAACATACCTCACAGTCCAGATAATCCTGCACGATCTCCCTTTTCCATTTATACTTCAGAGACACAGGAGGAAGCCAAGTAAATTGGACAGTAGCTTCTTTTGCTGTTTTGCTATTCATGTCTATCAGAGCACTTCCATGTTCTCACGAGATCTGGGCCACTGAACGTTAGATCACTGCCCTTCCAGAAAATGGGCTTCAGTGCTGCAGTCCCAGTCCTGCCTCCATGTGAACCTAAGAGGAGATCTGAAGCGGGCTGAGAGGTCAGATGCAGCAGGACCCCTAACGAACTAAGAAACACGTTTTCCCTAAGCAGGCCTCACCTGCACTTCAGGCTGAGATTTTTTTTCTAGGACTAAATAGCCACCTCCTTCCTGGGGGGGCCTTTCCTCTCAACTCCCTCCATGCCCTTCTCTTGTCTGCCTTGGCGCTTAGCCCTTGTGTTGATATATTTCTCTCCCCCACCTGCACCATGCAGCCTTTGAGCAGGGAGCTGCACCTCATTCAGCTTAAGGCCAGTACTGGGGGGTGCTGCTGACATCCATCTCCCCGCCTAGCCTGCAGGGGTACCAGGAGAGCTTAGCAGTCAGGGCTCCACACCCAGCTCGGCTCCCATCCTGGTGACCTTTAGCAAGCCATGCCTGTGCAAGAGCTCATGATTGCATAACACGGGGATCATAAAATATGCCTCATGGATAGCTCCAAATAATGAAAACTAAGGTGTCTCTCTTTATAAATTGCCCACAGCTCTTCAGACAACACGGGTGTTGAGTTCCGTAAATGAAAGAACAGTCTGTCAGCCAGCCCAATAGATTCTCACGTGTGTGCTAGGACTTGACGATATTGCCCATGTTTGCTCCATGTTAACAAGCTTAAGATGTTTTAGATTTACAGAAAAATGCAAAGATGGTGCAGAGAATCCCCAAACACTCCTCACGCAGTTTTCCGTGTTATTAACACCTTACATTAGCAGGGTATATTGGCTACAATTACTTAACCAATATTAATGCCTTCTTATTACTATTAATTTTATTCAGATTTTCCTCAGGTTTTGCTTGGTGTTCTTTTTTTGTCTCAGGATCCCATTCAAGATACCACATTACATTTAGTTATCATGTCTTCTCTTGACTGTAACAGTTTTTCAGACTTTTCTTCATAACCTGGACAGTTCTGAGTACTGGTCAGGTATTTTGTAGAATGCATTCAGTTGGGATTTGTCTGATGCTTTTCTCATTATTAGACTGGGGTTATGGGTTTTGGGGGGCTTCCCTGGTGGCTCAGTGGTTAAGAATCTGCCTGCCAGTGCAGGAGACACGAGTTTGATCCTCGGGTTGGGAGGATCCTTTGGAGAGGGAAATGGCAGCCCACTCCAGTATTCTCGCCTGGAGAATCCCCACGGACAGAGGAGCCTGGTGGGCTACAACGTGTGGGGTCACAAAAGAGTCAGACATGACTCAGCGACTAAACAACAACAACAATGGGCTTTGGGAGGAAGATCACAGAAGTAAAATACATTTTCATAGCTTTCTGCTTTTTAAAAATTCTTTCGCTTCCTCTCTATCTCCCCCTGCCGCTGCCAAAACGCTGTTAATACGTTGATAATGCCAGTCAGTATCAAGGAGATAGGCCCTATTCTTGCGTGTGTTACAGGACATCATTCTCCCCAGTTGGGTATCACTAGCAGGAAAGGACTCTTCAAGACAGAATGTCCCCGGAGAAGTGGCCTCACAGCCACAGACCAGAAGTTTCTGTGGGCTTTTGATAGCGAACTCAGATAAAGGACCAACCGAAGACAAGCCCAGCACAGAGAACAGTACAGTCCTGGTTCTTGATCTTGTAGAAGTGCTGTCTGAGAGATTTTATCATCCTTTGTGAGTAAAGAAAGAGTGGAATACACATCATAAAAGCACAACTACAATTAAAGGCACTAGGTCAAAGAACCACAATTCTGCCCACCCCTCGACAGGCGCTGAGGCTTGATGGGTCCAGGCAGAAGAGGAGAGTTCATGACTAAGATACTGTGTGCAGGCTAAGAGCGTGGGCGCTCGCCTCACGGCCGCTGCTTCTCCCGGGGATGCTGGGCAAGTAACCCCACTGTTTGTGGCTCAGGGCAACCTTCTCTGGATATAGTGAATATGGTAATAACTTCCTTGCAGAGTTTTGTGGGGATCAAATGGGATGATATGAGTAAGCATTTACAATAGTGCTGACTCAGAGTGAGTGCCTCAGTATATATCAACTGTCATCATTTTTATATTAAAATTGGAGTGAAGCTCACCTGAGAGGCACTCTAAAGTTAAAACCCTAAGGTTCAGAAGCCTTCTAAGTAGGCCAGATGGAAAAAAAGTCAGATTTCTGAAAAAGATTCCAGAAATCTCTCTTTAAAAAAAAAAAAAAACCTGTTACAACCCAGGTGCGCCTGCTGGCAGGTGGAGAAGGCACAGTTTCTCCAGCATAGCTGAGTTACACGCCCACATGTCTTCTCCCACACGACTGAAACTTGGAATCCTGTTCAGAGGGCAATTCACCAGGGTTAAGTACACTGCACAGTCTAAGGCCATGGAATGGAACCAGCCAGCTGACCCTCACCAGAACAGTGAACTTGGGCTCCAGCCACTGAACCCGTCAGCTAGTGACCTGCCAACACAAACAAGCTTACGAATTCACCTTCATCTCAGAGCTCTGGTAAGGCCTAGGGGAACTTAGTTATCTGAAGGTGCTTGCGAATCTGTAAAGTGGTTTTAATTGAGAAGCATGCATTACCATATTATCAGGGTTCTGTTAGGCCCTCTGCCCAGGTCTCTGACTCTGAAGAATGCAGCAAGAAACAAATTCCGTGAGTTTGCCTCTTCACACACACTCTCCTTTCACACTTAAACTCCAAGTATGGTATTATGGATGGTACAAGTGCAGAAGAGTGACAGACAGGATTCTTTGAGCATTCAGTCTGCTCTGGTTACAATTCTAATCACTGTACACGTATTATTAGTTCATTTAATCCTTATAACAACTCTCTGAGCCAGTACTGTTATTCTGCCCGTTCTTACAGATGAGTAAACAGAGATACAGATGAGTTAAATGAATATCTAAAGGCCAAATAGCAGTGATGTGGTTCTATCAGTTGGGACTATATTTGGTTGCATGTAACAGAAAACTCAAAAAGAAAAGAAAGAAAGTGAAGTTGCTCAGTCATGTCTGACTTTTTGCCACCCCAAGGACTGTAGCCCACCAGGCTCCTCTGTCCATGGAACTTTCCAGGCAAGAGTACTGGAGTGGGTTGCCATTTCCTTCTCCAAAAAACATAGTTTAAACAAGTTAGAGTTTAATTTTCTTTTGAGTAAAAGAAGATGGGGGTGGGGTAGGTCGTCTAAGGCTAGAACGGAAGCCCCAAGATTCCTAGAGAACTAAACTCATCTTTTTTCTTCTCTAGTCATCCTAATACATGATTTCTATCCTTAGGGTGTCCTCAGGAGTCCGAGGTGGAGGTTGGAGTGCCAGGCATCAGAACTGTTTTTCAGTTAGGAGAGAAGAAAGGAGAAGGCAGAGGGCTTCCCCAGAAGCCGCACCTAACAACTTCCGGTGACATCTCATTGACTACCTCTAGCTGCAAAGACCACTGGGGTTTTGTTTTTATTTCTCTATGCTGGGCACATTGATCAAGGTTCTATAACAAAGAAGGGGGAGAAAGTAAATTTGGGACATAAGTGCCAAAAAATGCAGGCTTCGCAGGTGGCACAGTGGTAAGTCTGCCAAGCAGGAGACGCAGGTTCAATCCCTGGGTTGGGAAGATGCCCTGGAGAATGGCACCCCACTCCAGCATTCTTGCCTGGGAAATCCCATGGACAGAGGAGCCTGGCGGGCTACAGTCCATGGGATCGCAGAAGAGTCAGACATGACTTAGCAACTAAACAGCAAAACAGTCATAAAATACAGCTTTTCAGATTAGAACTGTGGGGCTGATCACAGGTAAAGATATGGCTATATTTCTGGTTTTATTTCCCACTTGCCGTAGTCATTTAGAAAACACAAACAAGATGGTATATGCAATTTTTTTAAAGTTAGAACTTTACTAAGATTTCCAGCTTTTTCTTATCCACAATTTCAAGTTATAATTGATGAGACTCTGTAAATTCATAGTGTTTATTTTTTTCAGACTGTTATAATTAAGAGTAAAAGAAACACAGATGTGGTATTTTAGATCAAATAATTTTCTTTATTTTTACTCTGAAATTTTAATCTGAGGCTTTTTATCTGCAAAACATTACTCTCAGATTTCCTTTTCAAAGAGGAAATGTCCATTTTTAGAACTTTCTTTATCTTTTAAGGAATATAGGAAAAGAATATTTGAATCATATTTTCAGAGAATTTCCAGAGTTATACATAATTATAGCTAAGAACCTTTCTTTTGACCTCAGTTTCTCCAGTTATAAAGTAGATATAGTAGCTTTTGCACAACAAAGGAAACTATAAGCAAGGTGAAAAGACAGCCTTCAGAATGGGAGAAAATAATAGCAAATGAAGAAACAGACAACTGATTAATCTCAAAAATATACAAGCAATCCTGCAGCTCAATTCCAGAGAAATAAATGACCCAATCAAAAAATGGGCCAAAGACCTGAACAGACATTTCTCCAGAGAAGACATACAGATGGCTAACAAACACATGAAAAGATGCTCAACATCATTCATCATCAGAGAAATGCAGATCAAAAACCACAATGAGGTACCATTACACACCAGNTGTATGGCAAAAACCACTACAATATTGTAAAGTAATTAGCCTCCAACTAATAAAAATAAATGGAAAAAATATATCTTTGACAAAAAAAAAGTAGATATAGTTATTCATTCATTGAATATATACTTGTGGGCTTATTAGGTGTTGGATACTTTATGTATGGTAGTCATTTTTGTCTCAGTGTTAACAAAAAATTATGGAGTTTGTTACTCAATCAGTATTTTTACAGTCAAATTTCTTTTCATACAAGTAAACCAAATTTAATATATTGAAAAAAGAAACTTAAAACTCCTTCTGGAATCATGAGATGCAAATATTTCAACTAGGTACACATTACACATAGCAAAACATGTATTGTGAATCATTACATATAAGGATACTAGAAGATAAATATTAACAATTTTCCTATTTAATAGTAAACAATATAATATGAAATGGCTTTGTGAAATACAACACTTAGCCCTAGTAAGCTGGGGGAACTCTAAAATAGATGCAGCACATTTAAAAAAAATTTATATTAATGTAGCTATATTGCTGCATCTCTAAGGAAATACTTACAGTGTCACTGTGTTCCAGAAATATGTTAGAAAGAAAATCATAGTAGAATCCTCTGTAACGGGAAATGTCATAATAATGTTTCCCCTGATAGAACTCAAAAGTATGCACGTCTGGGTAAGTGAAGCGAGTCCAGAGTCAGAGCCTGCGGTTGGGGGACCGTGGTTCACTCAGCTTGTTACCAGTTGTAATCGCCTTCTGACCCTGGCCACACCAGCCGGACTCTGGACCTGCTAGCTCCCTTCTGCCGGAGTGCCTGGGGCGGCAGCGGCCGGGCAGGAGCCTCGGCGCCCCCGGGAGCCTGGCGACGCAGCTGACGGCCTGCGAGGTCAGGAGAGGGGCCGCAGAAGTCGTCTGAGTCCTTTAACAGAGAGCGTGTCTCTTTCACATCACAAAAGGCACAGGTCCCTCCACGTCAAGTCTGGCTTCAAATGAGAAGCAGATGAAGTAGAGTCAGTGAGAAGAGGTGGGGCGGAACGGATGGCCACACTCGGAGGGAGAGCGTTAATAAATAGTAGGTTAATAAATAGAAGCTTCATGCGTCTTCCCATGTGCCCGTAATCTTATTCAGACAAATAAAAAAAATTATTTTAAAAATTTTGAACATACTCCATGGCTCACCTCTGCCTTGGCTGGCTAATTGTAGGTGAAAATGTGCCTGCTTCTTGACCAAAAGCTTGTCCTTCCTGCTGCTCAAAGTCAATGTTGTTTTTATAGTATGATGTTTAGAGTCTCTTTTTTAGCATTTTTTCTACTCTGTAAATTTCTTCCCAGATATTTCTGCCCTGTATAATAGAACAGCAGTACTTGAAGCCCTATCAAATATCAGTACTTGGATTAACCAGTAAATTGGTGGCCGATATTCATCCTCAGTCTCCGAGGACACTGTTGTTTCTCAAGCAAGTAAGTGGGCCCAGAAGGAAGGCTCGAATGGTCAGTTCCAGCTACCTTAGGAGCCTGCGGTCCCATCAGCCAAGCTGCTGAGCAGCTTGGACCTTTTAACTTCAAAGTGGACCTTTAAACTTCCAATTAATGGAGATATGAGCTGTGTTCTTTGTTGAGGAACAGTGGCACAAGAAGGAGGTTTTTAAAATGTGTTTTGTCGCAAAAGAAAACAATAGACGCACGTTATCACTTTTGCCAAAGCCAACGAACTCTGCTATGTGATAATCTTACAGTAATTTTTTCCTTTGAATACAACCCCATCTTCCTCACTCACTGCCGCCAAAACCGATGCCAGATCTGAATCCTGAAAATGACCCCTTCTCCTTCCTCCCACATCTTCCCCGCCACAATTCTCACAAAACAGACAACACTCTACAATAAACCAGGAATGAGAGGAGAACGGCCGTTACAGCCAGCCCATGTATCACAGCACCAAGTAGCTTCCTTTATCCCTGACTTGTAACATCTCAAAGCAGCAGTGGACTCAAGATTCTTCAGGATGGTTAAAAAACTGATGATAACCTGTGAGGCAGAAGAAATAATACAAAGTGGACCTTTGCCCCCAGAGAATGACTGAGGTCCTGCGGGAAGATTCTTCACCCTTGCAAAGAGCAAACTTATGTGGCAGTAACACAAGCAGGTGTGATGAGAGAAGCAGATCAAAGAAACTAAAAACGGAGTATGTGGTTAAATTATTTATGATGATGCCGCAGCTGTATTGATCAGAGGCAGTTTTCTCTCTTAACCCCTACCTTCCCCATACTTATAGAAGGTGTCATCCATCCCCCAAAGAATTATGCCCCAATGTGAACAGGTTGGGGACAGGGTGTGGGGTTAGTTTTCAGGACCTTAGTTACGAGAAGCCTGGTAATCTAATATAGTTCTACCATATCTAATGACAAACAAACCAGTGATCTCTTTGCATATCCCATTTCCTAGGAAAGAAATGGTGTATCATTTCACAGTGTACCTTGCAGGAAAAAAAAAGTTCTGCCCTCCCTGCCAAGATCATATTACCTTCAGCATCAAAAAGTCTAATACAAAATTGAAGTTTTTAAAGCACAGCATGGTATTGAAAGGGCATTTATATTTTAAGAGTCTTGCTTATCTTGTTCACTGCTGAATCTGCACTGCCAGAACACTGCTGGGCACACAGTAAGTGGTCAGTCATATTTGATGAATGAATGAATGTTGTTGGTATACTTATTGGGACTCAGTGAATGGACATGGAATGCAGGCATTCAAGTCTCTATGCTCAGCAGCTTGGCTGATGGGACCGTAGGCTCCTAAGATAGCTGGAACTGGCCATTCCAGGCTTCCTTCTGGGCCCACTTACTTGCTTGAGAAACAACAGTGTCCTCCGAGACTGAGGATGAATTTAGGCTATGTGCACACAGTTCCAACTTTGCAGTTTGGGAAACTCTGAGGCAAGAATTGATCCTCTGTCCTTCAACAAACCACCCTAAAGCAGTTTGCAACCCTCTTTGGGCCAAAGATTGTCTGTGATAAACTTCTGAAGAAAAGAAACTGGTAGAAAATACAATATCCTTTTCACCTCAAGGGAAAGGGGACTTAAAAGGAAAGCTCTTCTTAATGTTGCTGAGGTAACTAACATTTCATTTGGGAAAAAAAAGATCCTTATTCTGATGCAGAGGGGAAAAAAAGATTGGTAGCTGATCAAGCTGGTTCATGCTAAGAAAGTCTAAGAATTTGTCCCAACTGAGTGTTGAAAAGTCATCTAGGGAAGGGAAATTGTGACTTATCTATGTAACAGACAACTTTGGCTAATGTATTACTACCTTTATTCCTAACAGCTAACATTTTATGGAATTTAACCAAAAACCACATTAGAAAGAGAAGAAAACGTGTTTAGCTTCTGGTGCTAGTTAAACTGATCAGAGAATACTAGAAATTATCAGGTTCCATCAAGAGTCTAAAATGGCATCAACCTTGGATTTTGAAGAAGATGGAAAATAGAGCCATGCAAAGGCCTGGCCTCTGTTCCTTCCATTTCAGGTTCCCGGAAACGACAGATCTATTTGCTTTTTAAAAAAATCATAGCAGTACTAGGAAACAGGAATTGATATACTAGGCGGGCCAGAAATTATTATAAGGAATACTGAAATACATGCAAAGCAGATGGAATAATGTTAACAGAGAAAAAAAGCTACTAAGCTAAAAATGGAAATGACTTCAAATGTGCTACTGACTCAGGCTACATACAGGGAACAGGAAGAATCCTAGGCCCCCAGAAATTGATCAAATGAGACAAATATGGACATTGAAGCAAAAATGCTGAAGAACATGTTGGTACATCAGATTCAGTAATATATTAATAGATTTATATATCATAACCAAGCAGGACTTATCCCAGAAGAGAGTCAACACTGGAAAGAAATTAACATAATTCACTCCATTACTAGATTAAAAATGGAAATCCTACAGTCATATAAACAGGTGCCTCATGAAAGAATTTGATTAATTTCAACATGTATATCTAATAAAAAATTCTTTTTAGCATAGTAAGAATAGAAAAAACTTTCTTACCCCAATAAAGGATATTATTAACCCAAAATCCTTAACCCCCAAATCCTCAACTACAAAGATGAACTATTTGGAAGGTTTCCATTAAAATCAGAAATAAGTCCAGAATGACTTATCATTTCTGCTAGCCAACATTATAATGAAAGGTATAACAAAATGGGTAAAAAATTCTCTATGTATTGGCAAAGAATAGGAAAAGTGAGCTATGTATATTCAGATAATATAATGTGTTTTTTTTTTATTCCAGGAGACTCAACTAGCAAACTATTAGAAATAATAACACGGCTCAACAGTGTCACCAGAAACAAGATAAACAGACAGCCTTCAGCCTTAGACCGAATGCATGTGTTCCCTCCAAAACGCTTGTGTTGAAATCCCAACCCCCTATTGTGATGGTACTAGAAGGTAGGATCTTTGGGCGGTGATTCAGTTCAATTCAGTTGCTCAGTCATGTCCGACTCTTTGCGACCCCATGAACTGCAGCACGCCAGGCCTCCCTGTCCATCACCAACTCCCAGAGTTTACTCAAACCCATGTCCATCAAGTTGGTGATGCCATCCAGCCATCTCATCCTCTGTCGTCCCCTTCTCCTCCTGCCCCCAATCCCTCCCAGCATCAGGGTCTTTTCCAATGAGTCAGCTCTTCGCATGAGGTGGCCAGAGTATTGGAGTTTCAGCTTCAGCATCAGTCCTTCCAGTGAGCACCCAGGACTGATCTCCTTGGGAGGTGACTAGGTCATGAAAATGGAGCCCTCTAGAATGAGACTAGTGGCTTCTATGAAAGAGATATTTCTCTTTCACGAAAAATGTACCTCAGTTAACATTGATATTACTAATTCTTTGAATTCTTTGCCTAGTAAATTGTTTATTTTTTTCCCCAAGGCGTTTTCTTTGTCTCTTTCAATTGGGACAGATTCCTCTGTCTTCTCGTTCTGTTTGGCTTTGTCTCTCTGAACTTACGTGAGACAGTTACCCTTTGCGGTCTTGAAGGGGTGTCCCTGTGTGGGACCATCCTCATTCGGTGAGTGCCCAGTGGCGTTGGCAAGAGAGCTGAATCTGCTGTGGTCCTGAGTCACATCTCCCCCAGGGCGTGCTGCTGGCAGCTCTCAGCTTGGTAGGAGGTGCGCTTGAGTTGGAGGGGCTCGGGCTGGAGCCAGGTGTGAGCTGGGTCTTCCTGTCTTTCCCGTGACCATCTGGGGCCGGCTTGGGTCCCAGGTTACGGGAGCAGAAGCCTTGAGGAGTGGGTCTGAGCTGGTTCCATCCCCTGTTCGCGTGTTCTCCCGCCCAGCCCGGCACCAGTCCCCTCACCCTATGGGGAGGCAGTGCTGGAGAAGCAGGGCTGGTATGGGCCCTCGGCATGAGTTGGCGGTGGCCTGTAGCAGTCTGGCTGGGGCAGAGGCCCAGGCTGCTTCCAACGTGCCGCCTGTGGAGGAAGCAGTGACGGCTGCCCCTGCCCGGCTCGGAGGTCGCGTCAGGCCTGAGTCACATGTGGTCTCTCTGCTGAGCCCCCTCCCTGGGCCCCGGCAGCCCCGGGCCCGGTGCAGAGCTGTGTGGTGATGCCAGCCGCTGAAGCGCCCACCTGTCTCGGGCTGGGGCAGGCCCGGGGGCCGCGGTGTGCCGTCTCAGTCCACCGTCTCCGCCGTGCTTCGGAGCAGGCTGGTGGCCGTGCCCTCCGCACGAGTGGAGTCCCGGCTTTCCGCAGGCCTCCCGCTGGTCCCACCAGCCCTCCTGCCGG